AACACGAGAGTGTTTATTTCGCGCCAAAAGCTACCGTAAGAATGAACCAACTTGCCCAAGAAGTCACTCTACTGATGAAAAGTGTTTGCTCGATGAAAACATAAAGATGCCGACAGAGGTCGCGGACCCTTCGCTGAGTGATATTTCAGACCATGAGAAGCCGTCTTTTCCAACTTCTGATGACAATCATTTCTGATGCTCCTGATGAGAATCATTTTAAATAACATACTTCTGGAGATACTCTGAAATTTATACGCAAAATAATCGCGTTATGTCGCCCAAACGTATTATCTTCACTCCACCAAGATACTGGGGAGCACTCACTGAAAAACACTGTTTTTTTCCTTAAGTCTATCGTTTTATATTTGCAGGTAATATACAAAAACGTTGCTTACGTTGTTTGTAATGATTTTGTTCTTGTTTGAAAAATAGCTCGCAAAGTTCTCGGAAGTGGCCCACATAAGCTGTCTCCTGCGCGCCGCAGCACTGCTGCTGTCACGCACACTGCCACAGGGTTAATTATGTCAGACATACTCACAAACATTTCTGACGTGCGGTATTTCTTCGAGCTGATTTCTGTGATGCCGTCCGGAGGCTTGTTAAACTGAAATTGAAAGACGTGTTGCGTGGTTCTGAGTTAGTTGGCCCTCGCACAAGTTGTTCCTCGGTGCATCACAATCTGTCGGACGCACCTGACGGCACCTCGGTCAGTTTGGAGATGAGTGGACGTAAGGGACCCCTCCTCTATCCAATAGGAACTTGGACACCACACGAAGGCCATTATGCGAGTCCATGTAAATAGCCTCTTCGTATATAGAGCTTGTACTGCTGAGCGAAACGTGTTACTTTTTTATAACTTTCCTCGTTTCATTCCACGGGCTTTCTTCGTAGGTTTAAAAATGTAGGGAAATATTTTGGCATTTACAAAAAAAATAGAATCGCTCAAGCCTCCGTTCTAGAATACTAGCTAGTTATTTTATTTCTGTCGTTTTTTTAATCGCAGGCATCACGTAGTTCTTCAGTTTTGGAACAAGCATGTGCTCATATACTCAGCTCGCCACCCAACTTTATTATATTTTTCTTGCTTGCTTTTTTTAAATAAAATGATGATATAGGAGAGGATAGTGCCATTATGGTGGCACCGGCTACTGCTTTTTTTCTTAGTAGACAAGATATGCTGACCGATAAACAATAAAGGCACAAAATACGAGGCAGTACAACATATGATGTGAAAGTACACACTAGTCAAGCGTCACAGGTCAGTTCAGATACGCCCAATAGGTTCATATGTACACAAGTTCCACACACAAGGTTAGTTCACATCACATGACAGTTTACGTACGCCTAGTAGGCTCATATGTACACAAGTTTCACACACAAGGTCAGTTCGTGCACATCACATGACGGTTCAGTGCGTGTGTCAATCAGTGCGTGTGCGTGAGTATGTGCGTTAGTATGTGCGTCAGTTTGGCGCATTGAGCCACCGCCACCTGAAGGAACTTCGTCAAGGCCTGGAAGCTCTACCGCCTGTGTCAACGGGCTGACGATGCTGGTTGCGTTGTGCGCTGTGGTGGCACACAACGCAACCGACGCCGGCATTCAGCAGCGCGTTCGAATCGGCGTTGCAGTCTGTGCAGCATTACTGCGTCTCGACGAGAAACAACGAATGTTGCATCGGTCTCTGCGTGCCGTTGGGCTCTTCGGAATTGTGATGTGGGCTGCTTGTGGTTGTGCTCGTGTTCGTTGGTGAGTGACCAGATTGCGAACAGCTGCGGTGCCAAGAAAGTGTTGTGTCCACATTTCTGTGGAAACCGTGAATCTGGGCCGCGAGTGTACGCATTTGTATTCCCGACTGACCAAGGCACGCGGAAGGCATAGATACGGGCTCTCTTAAGGGATATTGTTAGTTCGCTAAAACATGAAAAAGTAAATATTCTGCTTTTCCTTCATTTCATGTATTGTGTTACATATAGTACCATGTTATTCTGTGTCACTTTTATCCCATGCGCGTATTTCGAAGTCCACGTTAAGGCCAAAATCGTAGACGGAAAGCATAATGCTGTTGCTTTTTATGTCATTCACAGGTGTTTAAAAATTCTTTAGCTCAAGTAATAAGACGAAATGACCTGCGACGGCCAGAAAAAAATTACTATAGCGCACACAAGGCGCGCTTTTTATTCCTCCGGTCCATGTGCGGTGCTTCTCAACAAGTGTTCTCGCGGGACGCGTACCACGTTTTTGCGGTACGCGTACCGCTCTCTTGTCGGCAGTGGGTCGCGTAAGAGAGCGAATCATATATGAGCGACTCTTGCAGACCAGATTAGTGCATTTTCAGTTCTAACAAGCTACTCTACTGCACGTGTGCCGGTGCAATCTGCTGCATTCTCTCGCCAGTACCAGGGTGGAGTCTGTGCTTTGTGAGATATCCCGCCCCAACAAACATGTATACTGCAGCTCACGAATGTCGAAGTGGAGAACGGCTTCTCATTGCTTTGCTCCGGGTCGCCCAATCAGTAACGGGGGTGCTCCGAAGGCGTCTTTGTTTGTGCCTCCCAGAGATGACGATCTCCGCAGAAAGTGGGAGCGCAACGTCCGGAGGGCTGAGAAGCCTGTGACCGAAACTTCAGCGGTGTGCGAACATCATTTCGAGCCAAGATACGTCCTGCACGAATATGTGCACGTGATAAATGGCAGTGAAGCGCACGTTCTCCGAGGAAAGCCGTCACTGGTTCCTGATGCCGTGCCAACGCTTTTGCCAGGTTGTCCACGCATTAACTAACCTCGTAATTTTTCGCTTGCATGAACCAGAAACCAAACGCGCGTTATAAGTAACCGCATCTGCAGTTCTGCAGGAATCCGCGACGGCCTGTCAACGCTGCCGAAGTTGGCATGGGTTGCATGGATGGATAGATTGATATGGCTGTACCCTTGAAATCGGGGGGCGGCTAACGCCACCTAGCCGTAATACTTAGTTTACCAACAACTAGATTTATATATCTTTTTCCTTTAAATAGGTCAAGGACTGGTACTTTGCAGTGAAGGGTTCAATTTTCACTCGTGCCTTGACTTTAGCTACCAATCAGATAACCTCCTTCTAGTTAATTCTACCCGCTTTAAGTCTATTCTGCCCACCCTGTCTCTAAACCCCAGTACTTTGAAAAACTCTGCGCCAGCATCCTGAACTATAGGGTGAAGTCCTTTACAGAACATTATCAAGTGTTCGGCAGTTTCCTCCTCCTCTCCACATGCACTGCATACTGTGTCTACCCCTTCGTATTTGACCTGATATGTCTTGGTTCGCAATGCTCCCGTCCTCGCCACAAACAGTAGAGAACTACCCCGAGTATTATCATAGATCCTTTCCTTGGCAACTTCCTGCTTAAAAGTCCGATAGATCTTTAGTGCGAACTTCTTAATCGTGCCCCTTCTCCACATGTCAATCTCCGTTTCCTTCACCTTTTTCTTAACCAATAGTTCTTTTTGGTTTGGCCCCCTGCTGTTTTCTAAGTATTTAACCGTCAATTTTCTGGTACGCTTCCTCCATTTTCGCTTTCTCCATGGTTCGCTTCCACCATGAAAAGTAGCAGCGGCGCCACCTGACGGCACCCGCGTGAAAGCTGACACCGGAGCCCAGGCGGTCGTGCCACTAGATCATATTCTAGTTCACTATAGTTCAGGGCTATGACGAGAGCTTAGCAAGGGTGGCTCAGGGTAACAGGACCGCTGAAGGATCGGATGATCGCCCATAATCTAGGAACAAAATCGAAAGGTCTCAACGACTAGCAGTATTGTCGCCATCGTCTGCTACCTAATTTCTGTAAGCGACAGTGTGATGTTGCGTAAGTTTTTTGTGCCATCTTGTACTCCTAAAGTTTCTCGCAGTGACAGTAAGCCTCTTATCCTTGTTGCGCTTAAGCGTTCGTTTTCCTCGTCAACTACAGCATACTCATTTGGCACTGTGACTTTCTTGGCGCTAGTGTTGCAAAGGTCACCCAGTATAGTTACAAATGTTTCTAGGTTTGGGTTTTCGCCTAATGCACCAGTTGTGCGATGACAAAATGCTACCAGTTAGTGTATTATGAGTAGCGTTGAGTCCTTGTACTCCGCATAAGTCGCTGTCCTACCAGAATCGTGAAGTGACCACTGGCGTGCGTTTCTACATTCGTTGACCATCCAGAATCTCCAAGAAGGTCATGTGAGCATTGTGTGACATCTATACAACTGGAATAATAATATCCTGTTATAAACGTTGGAGAGTTATCATTCATATTGCAGTTCTCAGCAGCACACTCGACAATATTTCCGCGAGAATCAGTATGTTCGCTGCCACAGATCATGTTATGAGCGTTAAAGTCCCCACAAACCAGCACACATGAGTCCGCGTTATGAACACATTAACTAGGCTGTCTAAGGATACTTTGCTAGACGTTTGTAGATAAAGGCTTATCCCAGTGACTCTTCTATTTCTGAATAATACTTTATAGGCCACAAACACGGATATATCTCAGTCTTTGACTGTATTGAATAGGATGGCAGGTCTTCTCTGACACAGAGCATCGCTCTGCTGTTTCCAGCTCTGTGCGATGACTCATATACTACGTATTGGACTGTCAGAAATCATCTCGCACACCTTCTTCCTGTTTGCATAGTACAGGAAAGCTATGTTTAACAAGAATTTTACGAAAACCAGCTGACTTATTACGAAGGCTGTCAGCATTCCACTAATACATGAAGACATTGTTGTAGCGATTATTCATAGTAAGCCTGCTGTGAAGCTTACTGAGTTTGTGGGGGCACTGGCGGCTCCATTGACTCCAATGCTTTCAACTCGGGTAGGTTGTTTGCTTTTCGAAGGGTGCTTAGAATTGCACGAAGAGCTGTCAGTAGTATCGGTAGGATCACATCAGCTAAATGTACACACGAGTAATGACTAACAAACACTGAAGCTCCATCCATGGTCGCAGCTGGATGTCGAGGAGGAGTATCAGATGACCGCTGAGATGGTTTCTGCGTCAGGAGTGGATGCTGATGTAGTCTCTGAGATGATTTTTGGTTAGGTGTCTGCCGTGGTGTGTGCGAGAGATGAGTCCGGTTCTCTGGGGGTAGATCTTGTCGCTCACTGACTTGAGTTTGTCGGCTTGGTTTATTTAGAGCTGCAGAATAACTCAATTTATCCGCTTAGTCCTGCTATTTGTGGGAGCCCGAAGCCACGTGTCTTGAGCTTGTTTTCTTCTGTGGTCCGTTCTAACATTTCGAATGTTTCCCCCTACAGTAATGTCTTATTTGTGTGGCAGATAATTTGGAATGAGTGATTCAAGAGAAGAACATTTACCGCGCTTATCCACTTATATGGGTACTAAATAATGCGGCAAGTGGACTATACGTGTCCTAGACTAATATCCTTCATGTGTACCTATAAGCTAGCATTATTATCTACGTTCATTTCAGAGCTACAATATGCATGCAAATAATAGTCACCTTGACGGGTTTTTTTTTTTGCTGAAGCATTAACACTTACTATTTTGTTCTAGATATTGTACAGATAAAGCAAAGACAATTAAGCTGCAACATTTGGATAACATTGGAATACTTGTAACTAAAGTGGCATATTCAGAAGTAAGCACCAAGCGTCTGAACAAGCTTTATAAGCTTGCCTTTATTGAGCTCATTGAGGGCCTATATTCTTGAATTCTGTAAATTATCTTTAACGATGTCAATTTTGTTCCTTTTTCAGGTCCACTTGAACCTCCAGTAATTAGAGATGAAAGCGGCAACATCGTCAGCGAAACTGCTGGCCCCTACATGGAAGGTGACGTGGCTACACTTGTGTGCCAAGTAAAAGCAGGTGAGTGGACTAAATGCTCGTAAATATTGAACGCACGCCTTCTCTCAAGTTTCTTAGTTGAAAATCTTAAACCCCGAAATGAGGTCCCAGTTGCATAGCTGCATAAAAAATTGTCATCGCTTACTATAGTTTTTATCGCTATCTGGGTATCGTTCTTCTTCTCCATAATTCCCTGTGGTAAGTGTCTGAATTATTGCTAAAGGCACACCATTTACTATACATGCAGGCGTGAAATCTTTCCTACTTTTACAGACAATGATTAACCAAATGCCACGGAACGAAATCACACAGAAAGGTGATACTGTGCAGAGTCGTGAATGTAGTTGACTATTTCACATCAACAACTCCTGCCGCGAAAAAAGTTGAAAAGGCTACGTTAAACATCTGTAGGCGTGCCGACATGGCCATGTTGCATTCTTAACCACTGTATCTCCTTGATCAGCTCATTAACGTAGATAGCGGCACACATGTGGTTATTAAACCGATATTCTTGTAGTGTAAAACACTCTCAATTACAGCTACACTTCAGCTTTAAATGAAGCCGCATGATCCAACCACACGGTTTCTAGTTCAGCCGACATAATGGAGAGTGGTTTCCCAGTGTACGCAAACCGCCGAAGTAGGTTAGCAAAAGCGACCATGAGCCAGAATGATATTTTTTCTCTGTTTACTATAGAAATTGCTTAGTGTGAATCTGTGTGAGGTAGCATGACTTATGCATTAGACATCAAGCTGCTATGGATGATCGCAAATTCATGCTCGCGTGGACTTCCGTCGTGGTAAACGCTCGTCTGTGAACCGACACTGACGCCCAGTTTGTGAATCTATTTTTATTTATTCATTATTTATTAGTATACCCTCAAGACCCAGAGGGTGCTACAGATGGGGTGGGCACAATATGAAAGTGGCAAAAGTTATAGTAACAGCATTGAAGGAAATACAACAAATCATAATAGTGAAAAAATACAAAAAAGACAAGAGCAGGCAAAGAACAGTAGTCTACAGTCACACCATAAAGTGTTCTGAAACTGCTTTGAACATCCCTTGATCATTAGTGGCAGCAATGAAGGGGGGAAGGCGGTTCCGATCTCTGCTTGTCATCGGAAGAAAATATTGCAAAAAATGGTTGGTATGGCAAAAGGGAATGGTTACTTTATTCGGGTGGTCAACACGAGAGGAAAAATATGCAGGTTTCCCGTTTAATTTCTCTCTAAGTGCTTGATTATGGTAGAAAATTTTCTGGAAGAGTGACAGACGAAAGATTGTTCTTCTTGTAGCCAGATCAGGAAGTTGTAGAGTACATTTTATTAAGGTGACGCTGGAAGTACGAGCATAGTTGTTAAGAATAAAGCGGGCTGAGTGGTTTTGAACAGCTTCTAATGCTTCAATTAACGTTGATTGAGCTGGGTCCCAAATGGCAGACGCGTACTCTAATTTTGGTCGGACTAATGTTTGGTAAAGCTGTAATTTAAGGTGTGGGGGTGCTTGGCGGAAGTTCCTGTGGAGGTAACCAAGAGCACAGTTGGCGTTGTTAATAATGTATGTAATGTGAGAACGCCACGATAGATCATTTGCTATCTAAACACCAAAGTATTTGTAGCTATTAACCTGCTCTAACTTAGTTTCATTTATTATGCAGTTGAAAAGTTTTGGAGTAATAGAAAAGCGTGTGATTGTCAAGCTTTTAAACTTAGTTACGTTAAGATCCATTAATCACGTATTGCACTAATCAGAGGCGCTATTAAGATCAATTCGGAGAAGCAATTTATCGTCTTCGTTAGTTATTTTGTGGTGCAGAACACAATCATCTGCAAACAATTTTATGGATGATTTCTTGTTACCTGCTAAATCTTTGATGTAAACTAAAAAAGTAAAAGGACCCAAAACGCAACCTTGTGGTACACCAGATCTTACTGCACAGGGATTCGAGGAACCATTATTTGTGGTAACATACTGAGTGAGGTTAGTGAGAAAGCATTCAATCTATTTCAGAGTGTTTGGGTCGATATTCAGCGCACTAAGCTTAAGCAGTAGTAATTAGTATGAAACTTTATCAAATGCTTTCGCGAAGTCTAGAAAAAATGGTAACAACTGGTATTTTGTTATCTAGTGCGGAGATGAAGTCATGTGTAAAAGATAAAATACGGATTTCGCATGAATGATGCTTAAATATGTGTGACAATACAATTGAACAGTAGACTTCAGTGTACTTTAGAAATTTCGTGTTTCTCTCATCAGTGCCACAGGCAGAAGACAGCTTAAGTCGCCAGATTAAGTTGATAATTCCTTCAAATTTTATAGTAATGTAATCCATTGGAAAAAAGTCGCTGTGATGTATCTGCGGCACCGAAACTGCACATGAATTTGAAAAACATTGCCAAAATACTTTGTTGAAAAGAAAAGAACACTCTTCGTTGCACATCGCATGGCCATTGGAGTCAGTAAGTGATATGACAGTTCGTTTTATTGTGTTGATAGTTTTCTAAAACTTCGATGGGTTAAAGGACAATAACGAGGGAAGCGTTGTATTAAAATAATGCTGCCTGGCATTTTTGATGGAAAAGCGATACACAGAAAAAGCATCAAGATAAGCCAATCAACGAAAGACATTGCTGGAGAGTTGAGCCGAGTGGAAGAGGCGCTTCTTCCTACTTAGAAGTCTTTTTAAATTTGCTGTGAACTACGGCGATCTGTGCTTTTTTTATATTACTTGAAACAGCACATGTCGGCCGATCAATGAAACAACTTTGTCACCAAAATGGTACCAATTCTGCTCGACTGATCAGTCGAAAAACCAGGCATATAGCTATCGATAAATTGTTCAAATTCCGCGTTTTTTTTTTTTGCAACATAGTTTCCTTTTTGTAGTTTTTTATGGTCTTGGTGACCTTAGTTCGGGGTGAAATAACGATAATTAACGTGAATTTTAGGCAGCAGGGGTCACTAACACCAGGAAAACAAGTGAGTGCAGTAAGTACGGTGTCGCAGTCAGGATTAAATCCAGTACATTAGCTTACCTAACGCCTCTTCTTGTTGGTTCGGTTACCATTTCAGTTAAGTTGAAATCTAAACATAAATTAACAAATGATTTATTCTCCGCTGCCATCTCTGTAACAATAATACTGGTACCTGACCAAATAATTTTACGAATATTTCCCAAAAGGAACAGTTGAGAGTGCGGAAATCGTACAACTAGTGAATTCAACACGTCATGCAATTCATTACAAAAGTCAGGCGCTGCGTTGGGTAGCCAATAGCATACACAGAATAGAGCACTCTGATGACGTAATGGGATATTTGCTCAAACCATGTCTAAGAAAGTATTCACCGGTATCATGTGCGACTCTAGGTTAATGGCTACCGCTATAAGCACACCTCCCCCTCTTCCGCAAGGTACTTGGCTGCTGAACCGCAGGTCGCGGGATCGAATTCCGGCTGCGGCGGCTGCATTTTCAATGGAGGCGGAAGTGCTGTAGGCCCTTGTTCTGAGATTTATGGCTTCTCCCATATTCATAATGTGGTTTTGGGACGTTAAATCCCACATATCAATCAATAGTTCTGTACTGGCTACGTCGGGGGAAAGTCACGCTTCAGTGAGTGCTATACAACGTCGGCGCAGCATGAGTCAATAACAGCCGATAATGAATCTCGCTTATTGATTATGCTTCTTACATTTGATAGTAGGAAGGATGTGCTACCCGAAACCGGGGTTGCATCATTTGACATTCGGGCTAAGACAAGCAAGGGCATCTACCTGTAGACGTAGGAGCATACGACGAGTCGTGCCAACTTTCGTTTTTACCGGATTCCAGGTCACAGATGCTATCGGTTGTTCCCGAGTACACGAAGCACTTTTTGTTTATATAAAGTCTGTTATGACGTACTGAGAACTATTGTTTGCTAGCTTTTACATACTCGAAAAGCTTTTTACGCATACTCCTCGTAGTCGCACAGAAGTCTTCATTAACTGAGACGCCACAAGCCTTGACTTTAGCTCTAGCGACCAATTTTCTCGCATAGCTTCAAAGATGCGAATTTTCTTATTACAGGTTGCGTTTTTCTGGTGCGTACTTTGCACGCGAGATATACGTTCGACATCGTCACTCGGGTCGATATTCAGCTCTCTGTTAAGGATACTGCATACTTTTTTTTTCACATTGGGTCCATGTTTCGGATGCAGTGTCTTCAATACCGTGTAATATCAGGTTATCGCGGCGGGAGCGATCTTCTAGTTCGTTGAGGCGTTCATCCAAGGCTGCTAGTTTTGGTGCTGCGCCCACTCTCGAACTTTCACCACTCAAGCGCATGCTGTCCTCGACCAGAGAAAGCCAGCTGTGAATGTCACAATTTTTTTTTCTTCAAGTGTACTTTGCGTTTCCTTGACAAAGTTTAGAGAAGCTATAACCTCGTTGTGCTTCACGTCAACATTTTCCTGAAGGGATTTTATAAAAAAAAAGTAGTTCTTACTTTCCTCTTTTCCACCTTCAGCAGTATGAGAATGACTACTGTTTTGAGTCGTGAATTTTGCACTAGCTGCCAGAACAGTTTGATATTTCCATCACGTCGCATGTACATTGAGCGGCAATATAGAAAGAAACATGGCAAAACATCTCGCGGTTAACGTTGCAGAGGCATGCGCGTGCTATTGTTGAAACGGAGGCGAGTTTGCCTCCACCTCGAAGACGCGTTGACTTAAACAATGAAGCTATAGTTTGTGCAGCAATGTTTTTAAGCAGCAAGGTTGGGCGCTCCACTGCATGGCGTATCTTTTACTTCTACGGCAGGGCAGGTTTCGAAATTGTGTTTGTTGTGTTGTGGATCACTTTCGTTGCCCCTACATCTGCGTCGTTCTCTTCCGACAAGAAACACTAGCTTTTCTTTGTATTCATTGTTATGACGAGGCGAAAAACAAGCAAAGCTCCTTCCCACTACTGTCACAAGACGGTCAAATTAAGCAAATTTCTTTTTTTTTCTTTGCTTTTGCGAATTAATCTTGCTGA